AATTAAATTATTTTTAGGGAAGACACTAAGCAAATAAAAAATTTTGAATTTCATAAATAAATGAAAGTTACATGCTTTATTTTCTGGCATAATGTAGATAATATTTCCAGAACAGATTTCTGAACAATTAATCATGTTAATATTGCCTTTCTTTTTCCATTAAAAGCTACTTGTATTTCCTGCTTAATTACAGTATGCTTTAAGATAAACATTAAAACGTTTGAGTAAAAATAATATAACTATAAAAAGGTGAGACACATAGAAACAGGACTTACACAAACAGTAAGAAACAGACTAGTGCAAAATTTTTTCAATTTATTGATTTGGTATTCTATGTCATTAACAGTACCAAATCCTGAAAATGAATCATAAGGCACGTACACAAAAGAACAACACATGGAAAATCACATTTCCTACACAGACGCTATTTATAAAATTTTATCTAGGTGAAGAAAGTACAAGTATTAAACACTGAAAATATAAAATATTCATTTACTTTCTTCAAATAATTAGTAACATCGATGGATTCAGTCACAAACGCCAATCCAGTATCCTTTGCGACTCTACCATTCTTTTCGACCTCCATTGCTGACTTCACAAATATCCCACTACAACCGGAAGTAGAAAGTGTCTGCTTTGCCATTGGTCAGTGAACAAGAATTGCAATGCTTTTTTTTTTCTTCTTTATAATTAAACATATTAAGAAAGCCTCTAAATTAGCATATGAAATAAACTTACTTTTGCATTATATAAATTTATATTCACAGCATCTCTGTATTAAAGTAATAATTAAATTTTTCTACAAAAAATAGAAATGTCCGTGTATGCGCATGTTCAGTGTATAATCATTAATCCGGTTAATTTTTATAAGTTAGCGTAAAATTAACTATGTAAATTTTGAGTTCATTCAACTGGACCCTTGTACTTATTCTGTAGATCTCCATATTAAGAATGTCTTTAACTGTTTCAGGAAAAATATAAAATATAATTATTTATTTACATTACTTATTTATTTTTTCCTCATATAAAAATTATTAAAATCGCTATATCATTTTTCCCGTACATTAAACAAAATTAAAAAAATTTAGCCTCATATGATTTTTATAACAAAGATTAAAGGAACTGAAATATATGTAAATATCAGGATTCAGCTTGCAATTTCGTAGAGTTATTATTATTATTTAAAAAAATATTAGTATATCTTTGATTATAATTAATGATCCTTTGGTCTACATTAAACTATTGTTCAAGAAGTTAAACATTTCCAAGCATCTTCTGCTCTATTTGTTATTCTATTCCTCGATATGAAAGATTAGCTAGTCTTATTCCAATTTAATTGCTCACATTTTCTAAATAAAATAAGGCGAGTATTGTACCAAACTCAGTAAGAACAGAAATTTAATATACAGCTTATTCCAGTTAAATGGGTAATAGGATTTTCATAAAAGAAATTAAATTTTGTAAATTAATGTACGTGTTGATATGAATAAAAATAACAAATTTGATATAAGAAAATAAATAAGTTATTTTGAAGATCTTTGAATTAAGAAAATATAATTTTTTGCAAAAATGCACGTTAAGATTTAGCTCACATGTTAAAATTCATAGAAAAATTTAGACTCATATATGAATGGCCTTGTTTTCATGTTCATGGGCAAGGAAAACAAAGTGAAATGCCAAAAATACACTAAATATTTTGAATTAATAAACTTCATTTTAAATCTTTTTAGATTTCTTATAATATCCGTAAAAGTGACGAATGAAATATACCATAAAGGCAGTAGTTTCTTTCAGAACATTCGATCCGTATAATATGTGTAAAAGTGACGAATAAAATATACCATTATGGCGGTAGTTTTTTTCAGTATATTCGGATTCGTATAATTTTCGTAAAAATAACGTGTGGAAAATAACGATCAAGAGTCAACAGCAACTTCAGCCTTTTTCATTCGTAAAAATTTCGTGAAAGTAACGCGCTAAAAATACCATACCCTTATTTCACCAAAATTTTATACGTATATTTTTGGAGACGTGCTGCCTGGGTATTTGTTTCATCCACACTTCTTTTTTTAAATTAAAAATTATTTCAATAAAAAAAAGGAATTGCTTTATAATCGTCCTTCCAATTTAAGGAACACTTCAGTAAAGGATTTAAAAAATTATTCAAAAAAAAAAAAAAAAAAAAAAAAAAAAAAAAAATAATTATGAAAAAGTGCGAAACTGCACATATTGAATCACTTATTAACACACTGTTGTTAGGCGCTTCGCATTGGTGCGTTATGGTGGGAGCGGGCAATTTTTTAAAAAATCCTCACAAATTTTGTCGTTACGTAAAATCCCTATAAATTGAAAACTACTTTGAATTTTTTTATGAAACTGATTTTCTCAACTTAAAATGTATTCTTCATCGTTATTATGAAAGATAGGCACTTTTTGCATAAATGCATATAAAATATACAGTTGAAAGTACAAAAAATGGAAAAATTTATAATTTTTGTCAATATTATTTATTACCAAAATTTTTCAATAAACAAATAACTTAATGAAGTAAATAATGAACACTAATAATGTTTTATAGTGTGATAACGCTCAAAACATTTACCTCCATGAAGAGATACGCCGCAAAATTTATGCATAAAACAAGTTTCACTTTGTACTTTTTGAGATGCACACACTCGACATTGTCTTTGCGCAAATTTTTTCTTTCTGGTTCCAACAATTTTTCTAGAACGTGTTTTTTCATATCCGTCAACAATCTTACTGGTGGATCATGTTTAGGTGCCCTCTTTCTGAAAGTGGATGGTCCTGGCTCTTGATTGTTATCTTTGGTTCGTACCGACGAACCGGAATCAGTAACCCAATGCAAAGTTACTTCATATAAGAATTTCTTATATTCTACTTTGTTGCTTCTTGTTAAATTATAGACAACAAAGGAATTGAACAATGTGCAATTTATAATGTACATTGTTACTAATTTTGTCCATTTTGTTGTCTTTCGTAATATTGAATAGGAAGACAAATACTGATCTACACGGTTGACACCTTTCATAAAGTTATAATCAATCAATGCATTTGGTTTAGTTATTTTTTGGCATGTGTTTCTGTCAATATTGTGACTTTTATTTCTGCCGAATGTATAGTCGAAATAAGGCCCACTTCTTTTTTTGATTGTCAGATTTGAAGTAAAATATCCCCTTTACGGCGAAAGACTGTCTGTCCTTTTCTGAGATTTGTCTTTTTTAGACACTCCAATAAACCTTTATTTTTTCTGATGGTTCCACATACCCTAATTTTTATTTCGCAAAAGGGCTTGAGTGTTTGTTATCAACACACTTATAATAATTATCCATATACAGAGTGTGCCGGACATCTGTATATGGAGATACAACTGTCTGTATTGTCTCTATCGGCCGTGACCCCTCACCAGAATAAATTTCAAAATTACAGATGTATCCTGTATCACTCTCACTAGTATGCCGTATTTTATAAATTTTCCTGTATTATAAACTCTGAAAAATAACTGGTATAATGCCTTCATCCACAGATAGTTGCTGTTTAGGTTTGTATATGTTCACAAATTTCGGGAAAAAATAATCAATTATGAACCTGACTTTGGTCAAGCAGTCTGATTCATTATTGATATTCTCGTTATTGTTTTAATACCAACCTTCCATATTTACCGATATCTATCTCTAGACATTGTTTTTGCAAAGGATGGCATTTCTGTGCAAGGACCTGTGGCCCAGTACTCGTCTCTTCTATCTTTTCGAACTTGCCCCATGAAAATAAATTAGTCCCAAAAATTTCCTCATTTTCAATATGATATCCTTCCATTTCACACTTTTTGAGGTATTTTGAAATTATTTATATTTTGGTAATAATACCTATTCAATTCTTCAACAAAATATGTGAACAAGTCATCTCCAATAAACAAGTTTAACGCATTGGTTATGGATTCGGGAACAGTATCAACATTTATCCTAGGGCGACTTAAAAACTTCTCTAAGATCGGTGGATTATCGGTCAATGACCATTCTTCTTCATGTTCGTCAGAACTTGATTTAGACTCAGACGGAATACAGATAAATCTTTGAGGTCGTGAAATAATGTCTTCATTGCCACTCTCCTCCTCACTCTATCTATCGATATCACTATCGCATGAATAATCTCACAAATTTCCTGGTTGCTTTTGTCTTCACTGTATCTCATTTTATCAGCATTTACAGTATTTATGTATAAAAAATAACTATACCACTTTTACTAGAAAAACAATTATTGAAAGAGTTCAATAACAAATTTGACTCAAGATAATTATAAAAAATACAAAATATCACTAAAAAACTCGCGATTTTTGAAAATATAGGTTTGCAATGTGGAAAATACCATTCTTCCTAAGGAGATGTCTAAACACCGATAAATACCTGAATTCACTAAAAATAAAACGACTCAAAATTCATAAATTTGCAGGCATAATGTGTTGTGATAAGCACATTTATCGCTATTATTTATGACCTTACCGTCCCATACCTAATCTATTGTGGGAATGTCTATACCTGTGTAAACTATGTATAAATAAGCGGCATAACAAACATACACACATGTAGTAACTCATATTAGCTACGCTTCCCGAGTTCTACCACCAGTCCATAAAAAACGTATCACTACGTGATCCACCCTCTATGTACAACAGTTGGCAAAAAACGTAATTTTACATGTCCCGGCTCATTTATCGCTATTATTTATGACCTTACCGTCCCATACCTAATCTATTGTGGGAATGCTTATGCCTGCATAGTACTATGTATAAATAAGCAGCATAAAAAACACACATGCAGTAACTCATATTTGCTACTTGTCCTGCGTTCTACCACCAGTCCATAAAAAACGTATCCGCCCACCCTCATGCACAGTTGGCGAAACGTAATTTTACGTGTCCCGACTACAATGTGTTAAATTAATCCTTGAGTGCACTGAGAGATTTACAGAAACACATACAAATGTAAAATTTATAACAGTTTAATCTAGTATTTATACAGTGTGTGCAATTATAATGAAAACATGAAATTTAAATATGGCACTGAATAATAGCTTAAGGACATCGCATGGCAAAATAGAGTAGGATTGCTTTGTACCTGCTACTGTAAATTAAATGGCAGCTTACACTTGCACAGTCAGGGGAAGATTGTACAGAAGGCATGTAGGAATACGATCTGAACTTTTAATCAAATAAGTTTGAATAATAAATTTTGAATTTCAATACTTACATCATGATTTGTTTGTATTCAAAATTATTTTTTTAAATAACTGACACAAAGTATTAAATGAAGTGCAAACAGGATAAGAGAATAATTTTAAGTTTGATTTATACTTGATACAATTCAGAATTGCATGTTATGAATTTTTTATATCCTTGTATAAACTTTTCATAGTCTGTGCAAATTCAATACAGCATGCAATATAAGTTAAAATGCTCAAACAGTATTTTCAGATATAAATACTGCATGAATTATTCTGACTTGTTTATGATAGTTAAACAATATATTTCAATAAAATTATTACGATACTTAAAACATTTAAACCAGAGCATATATTATCATCTGTGAAAGTGACAGAGTATTCATACTTGAAATTTTATGTATATATTAAATTTTTCACACAGTTTTTTACATGAAATTTAGTGATGTAATCAAAACTGAATCTTCACAATTAAGTATATTACAAAGAAATAGTAAACAAATCTTATTAATAAACTTTTAAAATATAACGAAAAATATTTTTTTCCACCTTATATAAATAAGTATATCACTGATTTCTATCTAAGAAACATTAATCATCAGTAAACACACATTTGCAATATTATCATTTGCTTTAGGTAAAAATATCAAAAATAGGATATATGACAAAACATTTATCACAAACGTTGTCATTATTTGTTAAATGTATGATTTATTCTTCAGCACTGACTGACAACAAATATATTCAAATGATTAATGCAATTAAAATTGGGAGGCTAAACTACTACTAAAATTATTTAAGAAAGTAATTTTAAAATAGAAAAATTAAATTTTCAAGATATATATCTGGTTCAATCATACACTGAGTATCGACAATGAATTAGCATTGAATTAAAATAATTTAAATTTCTAAGATCAAAGTTCAGGTTCGCCATGTTCTTCATCAGACAATTCTTCTTCATCACTACCATGTTCTGATGGTGCAGGAGTAGAAGCTCGCGAGCTTAACGGTGATGGAGGCTCTGACATGGGTCTTGGATATTTCATCTGCATTTTGGTTTTCTGTTGGAAAAAGAAAAAGCTGTTATGAATTTTATTTTTAGAGAAAGACACCATGCTGTTTTTACTTCTTTTGAAAATTAGCTTCTAAAAATTCACAGCTTGGTAATTTACCTTAAAATTATTATTTTAAATAACATATTACTTAACTAAAAGTTATTAAGGCATTTTTTTACAAAAATATACATTATTCAAGTTGGGCTCAGGAGTTTAAAATGGTTTAAGTAACAGTTCTAAAAACTAATCAACTATATGACTATAATAATTAAATTACTTTAATCAGAATGTATACAATTTAAAAATATATATATATCAGCTTCTGAAAAGTGTAAAAGAGCAAGTATTTTAAAGAATTCCTAGGTTATTTACTTATTTATTTAAATTTTATTTTTAGCAGAAGTTTTAATCTATGGATATGTTTGAAATTATCATAATTTCTTTTCTAAGAAATTATATAAAATATCTGAAGCAATATTTTTAAACAAAAATTTAATAGTACAAATTTCAATAAAAAGGAATATCAAGTACAGAAGAATTTTGGTGCATTTAAATTCAGTAAACATCACTGAAAAAGGTAACTGCTAATATAAATTGTGCATTAAGTTTCTTTTCCATACCATTGCTTCATCTTCTAAGACTTCAGGATGGGTCTTATGAAGAGCCATTTGTCGAGCTTGTCTATAATACTTAAAATGGGGGGAAAAAAAACTTAAAATGAAATACAATGAATACATTAAAATGAATACGTAACTATAATAATAATAAAAATAAAAAAAATAAAATAAAAACTAATTTATTTTCATCACTACCATGTTCTGATGGTGCAGGAGTAGAAGCTGTTTTATTATGGAATATAAAACAGCTGTTTTATATGGAATATAATATATAATAATGTTTTATTATGGAAGTAAAATCCATATAAAACATTATATATATATATATATATATATATATATATGTATGTATATATATTATAAGTGTTTTTTCTGAGCACTTATGTAAATAAAAGTTTTTTAAAATAATAAAAAGAGTAATGCATTTATTATAAGCAAGTACTAACACACACTGATAACACTATTTTATGATTACTAATTATAAACACAAGTTACAATTTTCATCAATCAATTTCCTGTTAATCCTAGTATATAAATTTTCTGAAACATCAGAAGATAAATTATAAGCTTGCCAAATAATTGTCAAAAACACTTCCACCTTCTCTCTATTGAATGCATTTTCCATATGTCTTCACTGATTACTCTGCTTTATTTTCAAAGTAAGGTCCAACTCTTAATTTTAAAAGTTTATACAGTACAGTCCGAGATCCGGACTTGTCGAAATTTGGACGATTCTGGATTTGGGATTTTTACGGCTAAATCATCAGTTTAAATCTAGTAGGATGGCATGTAGAAATTACAAGATTAAAAATATGAAAACGTGATTTATGAAATAATGAAGCATTCATGACCTAAAGACATAATTTTTTGTTTCGTCATAAAGTTCCTTTTTTCAAGTCTTAATTGCTGTGTCAATAATTCTAATTAACTTGTCAGCCGAATTTATTTTATTTTCAATAACCTATCTGTCACTTTCTTAACTATCGGTAGCGGTATTTTCTGGATCCAGAACTATACTACAGATTTTGCCGTCCGTTAATTGATTGATGATTGAGGCATTGTCATCACAATGACAAACTTCTGTTATATCATCTGCATTTATCAACATTTCTCCATATTTCTTTAAAAATCCATTAATTGAAAAATTTCACCTTTGGTTTGCAATATCCGAAAACCTTCAAATTCGCAGGTACATCATCCTTATCATGAAATATGGTAGCTGGCCATAAATTATGCCAAGCATATTTTAAAGCAGCTGGAAAGACATCCTCTCACGATCTTGGGATGCTCCACACAGATTTTTATGCTAAAATATTTCAAAAATTCTTCAATAGTCTCGCCATAATTCAAGAAATTTAGCATGAAATTTTAGTTTGCATTTCAGCATGTGCACTATTCCAATATCCATAGGCTGAATAATGGACGTATAGTTTGGAGGAAAGAATAATATGGATGCAATATCTTTCACTATTTTTGCGGCATCAGTTAAATCAATCAAATTCAAATATTGTCGAGCCTCGGGTACGAAATGATTTTCAAACCAATCATTTCATTAATGCTTGTGTCATTCATGCTCTTTTATTTGCATGATATATAATGGAGAAAATCTTCACTCGTTTAAATGCATGAGGTCGTACAATTTTTCTGATTGTGAAAAGTTTACACTTGTGTGTTCCTGCAGCAATTGCGCGTGCTAAAATTTTTACTCTCGCTTTGGAATTTTTGACACCAGTTGGAGCCTTTTCTGTAGAGGGTTTCCAAGGTATTTTGTGGTACATATTGCCAGAAAAGACCAGTTTCATCAGCATTGTAAATTTGTTCTGGCGACAACTTTTCACTGTTAATGAGTTCACCATGGTGATTTTTAAATTTGGTTAACCAAATCTGCCGAATATGTGTGCTCACTTCTTCATGAAATATTTTGGCTTGAGCCATTAGCATTAGACCCGTCAATGGCATGCCCTTGCGGTGTCTCTCTCCAACGATTCAATCATCACTTTGTCATGATCGCCACTTTTAGCATAGCGAATAATTTTTCTGTTATTCATTGCGAGTGGGATGTCAGAATCCACAAAAAATTCAAGAAGTTCTTTTTTCAGTTTTCTTATGTCATACGCAGTTGCCTTTCCAATGCCATACACCTCACATAATTTTAAAAAAGGATATACCTTTATCCAATTTTTGCAGCAATTCCACTTTTTGTTTAATGGATATTGAAATATGCTTTCAATTTGTAGATTCTGTTGCAGCACAAGAATTAAAAGCTCTTTTCGACAAAATCATAAGTTCAAACTTTAATTTTCATAAAACTGCTGCAATAACAGCCGGCAAAAAATAATAAGCTGGATCAAATCAGAAAGTTAAGGAACTTTAAGCAATCTGCTATATTAATTGAAATTCCTTATCAGTAAAGTATAATTTCAGCCTAGTGTAATAATGCCTGCTATGTATCATGAGATTGGACGCGAAAAACAAGTTGTTACACTAAATTTTGTCTTGCTTTTATCGTGCACCAAGACAATTAAACCTGAATTGTATTAGTTTAGTTATTTATTATACTTTCTTGCACATGCTTAAGGCTTATTCAAGTTCTGAATAAACAAATTCTCACATATACTTAAGTCTTATTGAGGACCGACGCTAGATTATCTTACTGCCTGAGATGCGGTCTCTGTGGATTCTAAATTCTTCTACCAAGTGCCTCTCTAAGTTCTAAATTTTGAGTCCCAGTGCTTTTCATATATTCTAAATATTTTGTCATCCCTTAATTCTGTTGCTCAGTGCTTCTCTAAATTCCAAAAATTTTGTGTTTCCTCAAGTCTGCTGCCTAGTTCGACCATAAGAGCTCTGATGCCGGTTCTGGGTTAATGTGAATAACAAATCAGTTATTCTTATTTCAAATAGCACTAAATGTAATCGTTTGGCCTATGAGTAACATTAAAAAAACATGTTCTTACCATATGGAAAGAAACTTTTGTTAAATTTTTTCCTTGTCAACATTTCTTAGTGCATTTAACTTAAATCTGTAATAATCAGCAAGAGAAAACACAAAAAAACCAACATGAAAAAGGAATCGTACATTTTTTAAAATTACGTACTAATATTAAAAAAATTGTTTAGGTTACTCAAGTTGTCACGTGTTGATAAATTTGCAGTGATGAAAGCAAAATATAATAAATAATGATTCATCAGGTTGGCATCAGGGATATAAAATATTAATAGCTGTGAAATCAACAATGCTTTTATGTAGAATGTTTTGGTTTGAGATGTATGCCATGCAACTATGGAGCCAAATTATTGATCATACAAATTTATGCTAAAGTAATTATTCCTTCAATAACGTATTTTATTTAGTGAAGTGAAATTTAGAATCGGGACTCTATATATGCTTTATTATAGGAGGGGGGAATCAAATGAGCATGCGTAAAGCATGCCAAAAAGAAAATCATATATATATATGTAATAATAAAATTCCATAGTCAAGAATACACTTAAAATTCTAACTGTATGTTCTTTTCATTTTTAATGGCGACATTCTCTTGTTTGAAAGTACGTGGAATTAAATCCACAGCCCCGTAGTCAAGTTGTTTCTCCCGCCTTCTTCTACACGTACAGTTATAGAATGTTCTGGAAATATTTAAAGCAAACATGATTCGCTGACGAGGCTGAAGTCATTTCTTGGAAGCTTCGCCTTTCCAGAGGCTATAAAAGGACTCGCAAAAGGAATATCAGGGCCTTTTTCTTAAATGTCACGATGCAGTAAACTTCATACAAAAAGTTATTAGTAATTCTTTTTTTTATTTACTCTGGATATCTGATTTTGTAACTGCTATTTCTCCTGAGCAATAATAAATGGATCCTGTTTTTTAAACTTATTGTCTGATAATTTAAGCTACGACTACATTATGATTCTTCAGCAATTTATTTATTCCTGACAAAAGCTGGTACATCACATATATATTTTAAAAAAGACATTATTGGTGGCATTGAGGTCCAGATTTTAGATTATTCTGGATCTCAGATTTTGTACTGTACTTGCAATTAGAAAATTTTCTTCTGTGTTGAATTTAATACACTACATTAACCTAATAACAATATGATGGCAGAAGCAACTTGTGCCATCAGGTTTATTTGGCACTTACATATTTGTTAGTTAACTGAAAACATTATATAATGCAAACATCTTAAAATTACATTACCAATATGTCACATTTGGTGACACCATGAAATTTGAAAATTTCATGGTACCAGTATTAGCTAAACGTTTTTTAAGAATTTGTTCACATACACACATAGAAAGAAAAAAGGTCCGGGTGGTCTAAATCAAAGAAAGCTCGGAATAGCAACATGGTAACTAAAGTATAAAAATAATAAAATAATTGTCAAAATTATCAAGCATTCTAGATATATATTTGAAACCTTAATTGAAATTTTCAAGTATAAATTTAATGTTTGGAAGACTATCATAGCTAAGTTACCCTAAATGTCTGAAAGTTACTTACTATTCCTAAATTTTTCCAATCTAATAAGTCACTCAATCTTTCTGTTCTGTTTCTTTGGATGATCCTTTGTCTTCGAGATAGGCAGGTAAAATCAAACAAATACTATAAAACAAACAAAGCAATACATGAAAATTCCATTAACAAAAACGCTGCCAAATATATATATATAAAATTAAGGTACTTATTTAAATATAAAATCTATTTTAAAAATAATTTAGGACTCTTACAATAGATATAGATACAGTTTCAATTTGCAAAGCAATCTCAATTAATATTAAATATATTACAATTTACTAAGTTATTTTTTTAAAAAAAGCTAAATTTATTGCAATATTTAAAAACAAGCAAGACTGTGTATTGATATATTTCTTTTATAAATATTTTCTGATATTGCTGCTGAATTTAATTTTATGGTTTAAGGGCAAAGAACATGATATTTAATGAATAAAATAAACACACAAAACACAAAAAAATGCCTCTTTGTGTATAATATAAAAATCTGAAAGCTTTTAAGATTGTATTAATTTTTTTCCATTTATATAATCCCTATAAAATCTAATTTTAATAATTAAGATACAATAACACGCCAAACAAATATTAATTTAGAAGTCAAAACAACAAAAATCACTGTTATATTTTCAAATTTTCACAGGACTACTTTCAATGGTTTTACTGAACCATCATCCTCAGCTGCAAAAGCGCAAATGAACGAGATAAGATAAGAAAGTCTGGACAGGAGATAAGCTACTGGCGCCATCTGTTGATGAAACCAGAACTAAAACATAATTTCTTTAACCCTTTCACCGTCCTCTCCTGTCCGCGAAAATTTCTCCCCAGCGGCACTTTGTTTTTCGCAACATGTAATGTTGTTTTCTCTGTACATCATAACATTCCATACATAACTTTCGTAGTGGATGAATGTAAATAAGTATTTATTAAGTAAAATTATAAGGAAATAAAGCATAATGGAAAAGTAATAATATCTCTTCTTATTTCTAATAGCAGGATAATTCCAGGCGGTCCACTCCTCCCATTCTGTTGTAATCTTTTACAATTATTGGTTCTCTTACAGTTCTTTTCCATGCTTCAACATCAATCATCGAGTTATTATGGACGGTCCTTATCAAGCGTATACCCTTCTTGTCTTTCCAATTCACAACCTCATTTTTTCTCTTTTTCTGCAGAGTAGATGTTGAAGCCATCTCTCATTGTCTTGTATCTTATGTAAAATGGCACGGATATTCATAAAACGTGAGGGAAATTCTATTAGAAATAGAATGCCTAATTAGTGCAGACCTCTAGGAAGTATTAGAATAAACAAAAACTCAAACAAGTAAACATTTAGAAAGGCGTTTTAAACGTTTAAAAGTTTTAAAATGTAGAAGAACGCTTGAAGCGTGTTATGGCCGCCCTGCAGAAGTTTCACTTGAACACATTAGATGCATTAAGGATGACGAAGAGGTTAAAGGCTGAAGGCAAAGATGGATTGAAATTAGCATTGTTAACTAGAACAGAAAGATTTTTTTTTTTTTTTTTCTCTCTCTCAAAGAAAATCCAGTTCACCAATAGAAGATGTTTTTGGAATAATTTTGGTAGCAGAAAAATTGAAAGTGTGTTTTTCAGACCAACAATGTTGAGCAACTTCTGTGTTTCCTTTTTTCTAACACATGCCTCATGTTCCTTAACGCATATCTGGCCTTTATACGCAACTTTAATCACATATGCCTTCCAGTAATTGTGAAAAATAGAAGATACCTGAGATTTCCCAACAGTCAGGGTAAAATTATATAAGACAGGAGAAAGCCTCGGTTTCTCATTTATTAGTTCAGAGAGTTGAGGTCTTTATTCGCCTTTTATATGCTCTCTGCATTAAACTGTGTTTAATGTTCTTAGTAGTTTGAAGTGTAACTATTGACCTTGCTCTGTGACACTCAGCAGAGCTGTATGAATGCTTTTGAGGAAAATCCCAGAACTTTTTTTGGAAAAATAAATTTTATCAAGCTATCACCATTCTGGTTCCATTCAATCTGCTACGAACCCATTCGCACGTAAAAATATGTAAAATGTAATATGAAAAAAATTATTATACTTAATTGGAACCAATTGGCAACAGCCCTTTAAATACATAGTTTTTAACTAAACACATTCCCTCTCTTCAAGGATATGTTTTACATCATTTTGTGTCACCTACAGCATGTTATATCACTCTTTTGCCTGCTTGCTCTGCCTGTGAAAGTCTTATCTTTGATAACGTTCTTTTTCTATTATCTAAAATATAAGCTTAGTATACAGAAATTTTTTATGTACATGTAGTTTCTTTAGTGTTATACTAATTTAAGCTAAAATGTACTTCTGAATAATTTTTCCTGTTCCAAATAAAAATACTTTTAAACATTAAGGCAGTTGTGTTTCTTGCTTCCATTAGAGCTTATGCAACAGTTTTTCTTGGCCGTGACTTAAAAGTGGATTGTATTCATTTTCTCTAATCAGCTCTCTGTTAAATTTTATCACTGTATCATGAATGCAAATCTAAAATATCACATATAGATATATATATAAATATATATAGAGAAATGGTAATAATGATATTGCTTACTACATTGCTAAAAGTCAAGAAAACACTTATTAATAGATTTAAAGCATTTATAATAAATATATATATATAGCAATCCTTAATATAATAAATTCTCTAGTTTATATGAAAGTATATAATTAAATTACAAGTTATAGTTATAAGAAATAGTTATAAAAAAGGGGATTAATATTAATTTCATCAAAATTCTCAAACAAGTTTATATTGAGGTCCAGAAACAAACTAAAATTACATAACAACTGGATTATCAACAAGAATCAGAAAGTTGTTAAAAACCATTAACAAACAACAAATTTACAATATTAATAGTTTGAGCTTGAAAACTTGTACATCATCTTCACACTTACAACGTTTTTCCCAGCATTAAAAGTTTAATCAATTTTGATAATTGGGATTCTTATCTAAAATGTATAAGTTTCCACAAATTCATTAAATATAAAAATAAAATATATCTACAAATAAATGGTATTCCTATGGGTACCAGCTATTCAATTGCCATTTGTAATGTTTTCCACTTTGTTAAAGAAAATAATGTTATTAACAACTACCATAATCTAGTGCTTTTCAGTTCTACCTATAGCTATATAGATGACATCACTGCCTTTAGAAATTGCAATGAAATTGAAAACAAGACATCTATGCTATATGCCTTAAATTTAATCAAGATGTCACTAAAGCAGCTTATTTATGCCTGCAAATTTACAAACTCAACAAAATAGCTTTATTTGACTAAAGATTATTCAATTTCAACAATCCAGCATTTTGAAAAATCATTACAAACATTATTATTAATAAAACCAAAAGAATTACAAATATATGTAATAACTGTAATGATTTTGCAAAAGAGAGTTTAGTTTACCAATTAAAATATCAAATAATCTACATAAATTTATTAAAAAAAAAAAAAAAACTTGCTAAAATACAGTTGTTACTAAAATGTTTATTATTGTGATAGAACCATTATGGCGGTATAGTCCCAATGTTTTTAACATGGTTGATTTCAGCATTCTTACATTATTTTTAAATTTTAGTTACACTGTTTAATTGTCCCTTTCCTTTGCTGGTGTATAAATTATCACAGAAATCACTTAGGCAATGTAAGCCTCATCCTGGGTAGAACACACTGGAGAGTAACATCATTTCTGATAGCATAGATGAGAAACTGAGGCAGGAATGTCCAATTTTGTCAAAGTTTATAAGGTTGTGAGGGTAGATCAACATGACAGGAATACAGCAAATTATACAGTGATGATATTGAAGCGTGATAAGATGCCCTTTCTTTTATTAACAAAATGGGCCTGCTTCAGCGTCCAAGTTTCAAAGAAGCTTGCTTGAGTGAATTACAATTTTTTTTCATTTTCTGGATTTTTACTTTTAAGGTTACCTATAATTTGTAGGCTTACGCAGAATTCCTTGTTTGCATTATAAAAGATTAAATTTTTGTCAACTTTTGCTTGAAAATATCTAATTTTTGTCAAACATATTTTTTATTATTTTTTACAAACCACAAGATTTTAATACTATTTATTATGATTTTATCATTAAAATACTACAATTTTTAAAATACCTCTGAAGTTAATTTTAACACTAATCACTACAAGTTTTCCATTTGATGAATAACAAACTGCTGCATAAGCTCAGTTTAATCTTTTGCCAGGATGCATATGGCAAGCATGATTGCAGTTTTATGCATATGATTTATGTAAATGGATTTTTTTTCCTTTACAATTTAGGTTTCCTACTAAACCATGTTAATGTTTCTTTAGAAGTTATTTTTCAAACAGTTCAATTTGATTTTGATTTTATAGCAAAGCAGATGTTACGTTAACTCCTCCTAGTGTTCCAGGACACAGGATTTATTTTTTGCTTAATATCAGACTAATTATTTCGAATTTCTATTCTATTATTTAAAATTATAGTTAATGCTTTTTCAAAATTTCCATTTTCAAAACAGTTATTGCTCTAATTTTACAGTTTCAGGAACTGACTGTCTCCTTTTTTTTCTATTATTAGCCTGAAAGGGCTATAATTCTCAAAACATGATTTTGCGCTGTTTAAGGCATTTTTTCACTTTTCATTCGAATCTGTTGCCATTCAGAAAGATGTAAGATAGTATTTTTTCATATTTAATCTGTCTGTTAATTAACAAATCAAACTATTTAAAACCAATAGATGCAGATCTTAAGAATATGACCTACAAAATTTTTACTTTTAAATCTGATTAATTTAAATAAAAATGCATTTAATTCATGATATATCTAATTATAAACATTAAATACTTTTTCACTTTTTTAAATATACAGATGTCTAAAGTTCTCATGCTAATCTAAATGCATATTTATCTGATCTGCTATAAAATGTTTTACTATTTCACCTGGCCCATCTCTACCAATAATCTGTACTGATAAACCATATTTAAACTTTAAAACAGCCCTTTGGAACGATCTTTAAAATCTGAACCTTTCATATTTAAAAAAAAAAAAAAAAAAAACATTAGAATGTTATGTTTACTCTATCGTATGTTTTATGTGTTTTTTTTTGGCTTGTTTGTAGTTGAATATGTTTTACAGACTTGGTCTGCTCAACATTTTTTAGTTTACTTAATTATTAAACAAATTTATGGTTTTGATGCTGTTATAATTTTTGTTCTTTTGAAAAAAAATATGCAGTTACCCTCTCCAGCCTGCAGGACTAAAACTGATAAAAGCACACATTTTTATTATAAAATTTCTACCAGTTAACTGTTAAGTATTAAATTCTTATTTATAAATTTGTGAAATTATCAGTTCAGAAACAGGCCAATTCATTCATTTCTTTTGTTACACCAAACCCTTGATGACTATGCGAGGAAGGATGTAAATAAAATTTTTCTTTTACTATTTTCATTTTTGGTATATACTGTTTTTACAGTTTTTCATGTCTGTAATCACTATGCTTCTCAGTATTATTTCTAAGGGTTTATTTTGGTTGAATACAAGATAGATTTTAATGTTTTATTTTTATTTTGCCACACTACCACCAGTTGTTGCAGCTATCAGTGCATGACTGGATTAGAAGATAGCATAGAGACATGGCATAACAGAGACAGATTTGATGAAAACCACACATTAATTTATTCCTGGAGATTCTTGATACATATCTTCAATCACACATCATTTATGGGTGTGACAAGCACCCCACAATTCTATATATCTGATCACATCCTGAAAAATAGATGACATAAAGAAGAAAAATAACATGTGCATCCAGAGCAAGGGTGAGTAGGAAAGTGACTGTGCATTTCAGCAAAGGGTTATTTATAGAGCTGAATTCTTTGTTTAAATTTTGGACTACAATTGGACAAGAGCTTACCACATTACAGGATTAATAGATGACATAATATGAAGAATTTCTTCATAGAAAGAACCTATGGTGTAGACTGTCTACTAAAGGTATTTGAGCCATGATTAAGAAATTTAAAGACATGGGGAAATTAGGAGTTCAACCTGGAAGAGGCCGTAAACAGTCACAGATACCAGAGTTTGGGGGCAGTAGAGCATGTGCAGTTTCTCAACAACCTATTCTGACAACACCGTCTGAAAAGTATTCAGAAACATAATTCACTACTTCTCATACAAGATCCGCCATATAATGGAGCTGCTTGATAGGAACAAGCCACAACCTCTCTCAGTCGTAGCCAGTTTTCTCAACAGAATGACTGTTGATCTGCCATGACATTCGAATATTCTGTGGAGAAATGAGGCTCATTTCTACCTCAATGGGACAGTCAACACACAGAATTGCCACATTTGGGCTAAGGAAAATTGGCAGATCACATGAAATTCCCCCACAGTCTCCAAAGGTCACTGTCTGGTGTGGATTCACGGCAACATTCATACTTGGCCATTCTTCTTTGAGGAAATTGGTGAACATGTGCCTGTCCCATGTACCGTTATAGGCCGTCGGTACCATGACATGCTGCAGACATTTGTTCTGCCACAACTACAAGCAAAGGTGAGTCCTTACATCAACCATTTTCATGCAGGTTAGTGTGCTCCCACATATCCATTGGTCCGTAAAGGCGCTATTGCCCCAGCACTTCACAAACGAACATGTTATTAGCTACTCCTTTCCTAATCCATGGCCAACATGTTCGCCGGATCTAACTCCGTGTGATTTCTGGTTATGGGGCTATTTTAAAAATATTGGTGTATTGTGGAGGTGTTGTGACGGTGAATGACTTAAAGAACACTATAATGTTTCATGTGCAAAGCCTCACAACTGATGAGTTATGATCTGCTGTGTAAAACACCGTCCATCCACTTGAAATTTTCAGGTGGATGAGGGTGGTCACGTGGAGCACATTCCCCTACATTGTCCTGGACACTATTAACAACTGCTCCGCTTGTGCAGTTTTGTCTTAATCTATTCTTATTTTTGTGCAAACTGAACTGTTTTTGTTTCTCCCTTACCTTTACTTAAAGAGGTTTGATGACAAGGTGATCAGAAACTAGTCAATAAATGTTAATATTGTTTCTGTATTCCATTTTGGTCGTTTACTGTTTTAAATTTCATGTTTTTCCTGAAAAGGCGCTTTCTGGTGAACATTTTAGAACTAAAAAAAAATTTTTTTTTTGAAATTCCATGAACGCATCTCATGTATAACCCATATGCAATAATACTTCATTGCATTCCGTTCACACTGTAGGATGTCGTTCATGAAAATTTAATTATAACCACCCGGTATATATGTATATATATTTGTGCGTGTTAAATTAAACAGCAATTTATTATTATTCCTATTTAATTTATAAAACATGCTTAAAAAAATTATGCTTAAATATATGTATATATGTATTTTTCGAGTTTTGGAAAGTTTAGAATGATCTAGCAAAGGTGAAAAAGTGGATGGAGCAAATTGATTGGAGATTGAGAATCACTGTTCAAGTATATTTAAGTTATTTTTATTATGCATACTGTCTACAAAGCAGTAAGACACCTTTGCTTCAAATTATATGTATTTTCTCAAGTACCATTCTTAATTTTGTCCAAATATTATTTGTTCACAACTTTACTAAATGTTCTACTACAGAAGCCTTGCTTGGGCTCGTTTTGGAATTCAGTATTCTATCTTCCTTGTGACTTCTTCTTTCTAAATATTCGTAATACATTTAATCATTTTTAACATCCAATACCAAATTCATGAATAAATAATTAACATACTGAAATACTCTGTCTAAATAATACTTTCTGAAATTAAACAGATTTATTAAAAGGCAATTTTGATTTTTCAAGAGGAGAATTTTCAGGATTAATAAACCAGACTAAAAATCACAGCAAAATCAATATATTTGGTAGCAGTTTTAGATATCTTATTTCTCTCAGTGCCATATTACATAAAAAAAAAACCATTCGAGATGCATTTTTGGATGAATCAATGGAATTGATATACTTTGAAACAATTCTACTTACAAATTATTTAGTTTTAAACTATTTAAAAATACTTTTAAGTAATTTAAAAAAACATTCAGTATATTAGTAATTATATATTTTTAATAGTAACAGGAACAATTGAGTAGGAAGAGTTCTATAACAAGGTTCCTGACTGAAAAATGTCACAGTTTTTGAAAAAATTCTTTAAAAATGTTATGCTTTTATTCTTTCAAAACTGACTAACCCAAACTTACATATTTACAGCTTAGAATTTAGATTTTAATTCTTTATGAGCATGTTTAAAAATTTCCTGAATAACTTTCATTTCAAATAAATGAACTATTTTTTAGAATAGCAAACTAAAAACTATTTTTTAGAATAGGAAACTAAAATAAAATATTTGTGCAAACTTTCTTTTTTTTTTAAAAAAATATTAAGGGAAAGCTACTACCTGTGCTAGCTGCTGTACAGATTCTTCAGGACTTTTAAACCTTCTATCAACAATATAGGTGCCATATGACATAGGATCAGCTACATGCTCTGCTATGAAACATCCGAATCCTGACAAATTAGTGGTGATACTTGGTATGCCCATCACTGTGCATTCAGCTGCAGAAAATATACTTCTTTAAATATTCAACAATTTTAACAAATTTTACTTTTGATTATTCTGTATGTTTTCTAACTTGTTAATATTCAATTATAATTACATTAACATATATGGGATTAATGATCCATACCTGGGGTATAGCCCCATGGTTCATAATAAGAAGGAAATACACCTATGTGGCAACCTCTGACAAATTCTTCGTAATCCATGCTAAACAATGGATTGGTAGAAGACAGAAATTCAGGATGAAATATAACCTAAAATGTTCAGAAAACATCATAGAATCAAAAGAATCAGTATTAATTTAGAAGTGAAACAAATCAGTAGTTAGGTAATGCAGCAACATTTAATAATATTGTTGCGAGCTACAGGAGCTTGTGACTACTTTTTAAATAGTCCCTCCAAATAAACAAGTAATAATTGATATAATAATTGAAAGTAATAATTGAAAACATAGCAAAAATAAATATCTCAAGGAGAAAAATACTAAGAAAGCAAATACTAAGCAGTTCCTCCTTAGTGCAGGAAAGATAGTGTAAATTTACAAAATTACTCACAGAGTAAACTCTAAAACATAATTTAGCTAATTCACTTTGAACAGACTCTCATACTGATTTACAACTGACCCATTCTGGCTCTCAGAATTATATTTACATGGTGTTGCAGTCTTCCGGAAACTTTTGGGAAAATTGCTCCTACAGCCTCAAAAATGTGTTTTCTCAAATCATCAATAAAGCAGCTAAATTGACCAGAAATTGCTAAATGCTAAGACCCACCAGGCATGTTTTTACTTATATCTCATGTTTTAGTTCATATGTTTTTACAATTTAAATATTGCTGGACTCAGAATTGAAAGAAATAAACAGTAATCAAAACATTTAGCCACAAATTCAATTACAAACAAAATAAAACTATTAGTCTAAAAGCAACAAATATACTATATTATAAAAATATACAAAAGCAATTATACAATCAAATTAATTTGTATATGTACATAAATTTTCAACAGTATAACATACCTTTACTCTATCTTCTCGATTATTGAATAAACAACATCTGCGTATATGACTCAGAACTGGATCATTTGCATCATCGATCATATTATGTGTACAGATAGGGGGTAAACTAGTTCTCTGCAAAGATGAATTACAGATAGAGAAAACTAATATTTTTTTAAAGCGATTTATTTGGTTAAAAAAAGCAGAAGAGCCAATACTGCAAGACATTTAAATTCTTACATGAAAATGTAAACTTAAAACAAATTTTCACATTTTCCCTGAATAGATTCTCTTTTAAATGAAATTTTCATGAAATGCAAATGCTAAAAAAAATGTAATAAAATAAATTAAAGATCTTCAACCTCACAATAAAGGGCAAAAATTAGCATAGCTCTTTCAGTTTTATTTGACACTGACAATGCTTAAGAAATTGCAAACTAACATTTCTGTATTTATTAATTTGATTCTTTCCATAAGCAAATAAAGATGACTGAAACAATTTTGAAAGAAAATGAGCTGCAGTAGGAAACTTAATAACTAACGTTTAGCAATTATGTAGCAAAGTATTTCCTAAGAAGTTTATCAGTCTTAGTATTCACTCATCAGACAAAATAATTATAAATTTCGCATCTACTTTATGTCTACATAGCTCAACAAAATTTTAATAATTTTTGCATTGGAATCTTAAACTGGAATATATTTTTGAAGATGGATATTTTATGAACAAAGAGAAAATACTACTATATAAAACCTGTTCCAGGACAAATTTATTGAAGAAAATGAGCTGCAGTAGGAAACTTAATAACTAATGTTTAGCAATTAAGTAGCAAAGTATTTCCTAAAAAGTTTATCAGTCTTATAGTATTCACTCATCATACGAAAGAATTATAAATTTCGCATCTACTTTATGTCTACATAGCTCAACAAAATTTTAATAATTTTTGCATTGGAATCTTAAACTGGAATATATTTTTGAAGATGGATATTTTATGACCAAAGAGAAAATACTATTATATAAAACTTGTTCCAGGACAAATTTATTGGTTCACTGCATAAAATAAAGATCATACAAAAATGTTACTTTGCAATTCTATGTTTTAACATGATGAAGCATAACTGGACTACAGTTATTGATTAGAATTAAATAATCTCTAAACAATGCCAAGTATTAGTTACAGGGAGAAAGGACAAGTGTTTCTTGACAATAAAAATACTCTTTTCACCATTTTATTCTTGTAATAATAAAATTAATTTAAAGTGAATAAAATTAATTTAAGTGAATAAAATTTCTTGAATAAAAAAATGGCAAAAATTTTTATTGTAACGAAACCTCATCTACATTATTTTACTCATTTTACTATTCAATAAGCAGAATTGATTTAAGTGACAAAGTATTTTTGTTCACTTGTTACAAAAACTATTTTTCATTACTCATGCTTTTCTCTGTTTTCACATGTCTAGTTGTAATTCAGCACCTATATATAAAACTCTATTTCACAGCACTAAAAAGCTGCTAACATAAGTTACAACATTGTTCAAATTTAAAACCAATTTTTTTTGTTTTTTTGTCTATTCAGATAACAGGGAGAAATCATGAAAATGCTCATGTAGTCAGCCTGTTTGCTAGCATTTGAACAAATGTTCAGCAGTCCAGCAACTTGGACATAATTTGGAATTTATGCATTCAGTATCACATTTTAACAGTTCTAATTTAAAGATTATGTTTTATATATAATTTTAAATGCTTGGAATTCTTTCCTCATCATGACATTCCTCAGCAATAGTAATTTTAATAAAAATTCAGTGAAGATATTATGGTATTAGTCACTGAATATAAATTGAAGGTGTTAAGTAACATTACAGGATTAGAAGAAAAAAAAAGGGAAGGGTGGGACAAGGAGTAATGCAGTAGTGCCAAAATATACTTTTAAATAACACTATGTTTCTCCATCAATAAAAGGGGGGAGTAGGCATGTATTCCAGAACATTTGTTTAAACACAGTTTATCAATGAATGTAAAGACCAGACTTTCTCAATCATCTAATACAGGGTGTTTATAAAGTCCTGTTCCCATTTTGATGTTTAATAACTCATAAAATAATAAAGATATAACAAACTTATGGCATTTATTCATGGAAATATTTATTCCTTTTCAGGTTTCAATATCTTTACTTTTGTAAATAACGTCTGCGCGTGTGGTTAATTTCAGATAATTTCATTTTCCAGTCTAAATATTGCCTGCTTATTAACTGCATTTTTCTCTCTTTTGTTTTTGGCAAGTATTGCAATGTTATGGACTTTTTCATTGGGGATTTGTAAAGGACAACGTTTACAGGAGGAGAGTGTCGAACATTGATGACCTAGAAGCCAGAATTACAACCGCAAAAGCCTCTGTGGATGCCAACACGCTTGCCAGTACCTGGCGTGAAATTGAATATCGACTTGATATTCTCCGTGCAATGAAGGGGCACACACGGAAGTTCGTTGACAAGGGTAATGAAACTTTTTAAGTCTATCTAACCATTTATGTTATTAATTTTAATCTATCTTTATTATTTTACGAGTTATTAAACATTAAAATGGGTCCGGGACTTTATAAACACCCTGTATAATAATGCACTATTTAACAATGTTTAATAACCTACTCTTCTGCCTAAAAAATCATTCCTCCCCTTTAAACCATAAGTAACTTTCATTAACTTCATTGAATGGATAACATATAAACTGCCGTTTCTCTTGAAATTCATACAGGGTTCATAGCCACATTTTAGTTAAAAAAAATAAGCACCTGTCTAATTACATTATACACAAATGCATAACCTTAAAAATTAGACTTGTAATTTAAAATATGAGAAATGCGGTATTTATTAAGGGAGAATAAGCATTACCTCAACCATGGAAAATAATTACTTTTTTTTTTTCCCTTTAAATTTTAAATAACAGTTCAATTTACAGAACTAGTTTACAATGAGAGGGAAAAAAAAACTATGCAGAACTAAACTATATTACAAGATTTAATGATGAAATTTTTCAGTTCAAAATAGAGAAAATAAATAATAATAAGGCATATTTATTGTATTCACTTGGAACCTATAATAAATACAATTTATTTTTCCACTCATATTAATATTTAAATAATTTAAATCTAAATTCTGAACATTTTCTAAATTTTCATTGTATATCAGTTTTCCCTTAACAGATATTGCAAGCAAAGTAATATAAGTAAAAAAGAGGAACATTTCTGAAATCAGAAGACAGAAATTTGCTTCATGCAGTCATCCTTTAGCAGTAAAAGCTTAACTAACCCACATACTTGGAAATTGGCGAATATTCGGGCAGTAGAGCGCAACTTGAAAAAGAGGAGTGGGGGGGGAGGTAGACTGTAGCCGCTTTTTAGATATTTCTGCTAAATAAATGCTTTTGACATTTCGATATGTACACAGTCCAGTCACATTAATGTGACCATCTGTCAAAAGCCAGAATAACCACCTTTCGCAGAGCGGACTGCTGCGAGACGTGCAGGAAGAGAGTCACATAGGTCCCTGAAAGTGTTCTCTGGGATGTTGAGCCATGCCGACTCTAATGCCGTGGTCAGCTGCGCTAGATTACGCGGTTGAGGATCCATGGCGCGAACAACTCGATCGAGATGGTCCCACAGATGCTCGATTGGGTTTTTAAGTCAGGTGAGTTTGCTGGCCAGGGGAGGACAGTAAACTCATCCTGGTGCTCTTCGAATCACGCACGTACACTGGCAGCTGTATGGCACCTCGCATTGTCCTGCTGGAAGATGCCATCATCCTGAGGAAAAACAATGCGCATGTAGGGGTGAACATGGTCTGCAAGGACAGATGCGTACTTGTATTGATCCATTGTGCCTTCCACAATGATCAGTGAACCTAGAGAATGCCAGGAAAACATTCCCCAGACCATAATGCTCCCCCCCTCCAGCTTGGACCGTTCCGGCAATGGTTGCAGGGTGGTTCCTTTTCAGAGGTTTCACGCCTTATAACGCCAACGGTCCATCTGTCCGATGGAGCATAAAACGCGATTCATCCGAAAACGCAACCTGTCGCCACTCAGTGGACGTCCAGCTGCTGTACTGGCTTGCAAATTCTAGCCTTCGCCGTCGATGAACAGCAAGCATAGTTGCACGAACCAGGCGTCTGCTTCGGAGGCCCAGAACCACAGCAATGTTCGCTGAATATACTTTGGGAGACACTTTTGGTAGCCCCTTGGTTTCATTTTGGTGGTCAGTTGCTCAACGGTAGCCCGTCTATCTGCCCGAAACGCATCTCCGCAACCGTCGTTCGCCTTTCATCTATGGCCCGTGTGCACCACATTTGCCACGTCGCTGATTTTGGACAGTTTCCATTTTGCCCATGCACGGTACACTTTTACCACGGCGGCACGCGAACAGTTTCACAAACTCAGCCGTTTCGGAAATGCTTCCACCCTTGGCCCGAAAGCCAATGATCATGCCCTTTTGGAAGTCGGATAATCGCTTCGCTTTTTTCTGCATTACGCCAACGATTGAAATGTTTTTCCGAAGCCCTCACACACCCTTTATATATACGCTCAACTGCACTGTGCTGCCACCTGCTTTTCTTTGATTGGTTTATTATACACTCTGACATGGAAAGTACGTGGTGGTCACATTAATGTGACTGGACTGTGTATATCATATAAAAATAAACCAATGAAACTGAAAAATATTCTGCTTAGCAAGCACAGTAAAAATCTTTTAAGTGTTCCTAAACAAACCGAACATCAAAATTAATTATCTCTGCAAAATATCGCAAACGTTATTGTGCAATACATGTGCTGCAATTCTTCCCTACGTGATTATTACGCAATCGGAATCAACAGCTGCCGGTATTGGGAGAATAAAGAACTAAATACGAGTAACTGGGGTTTTTTTTTCATTTTTTTTTTTTCAAATTTAACAGACGGCGTTAAATTTCCGGGATATTCCTCATCATTCTTCGCTTTGGGTTGGTAGACCGCAGACTTTTAGTCCTATTCAATCCAGATTGAAAAGTGGAAAAAAAAAAAAAAAAAAAAAAAAAAGAGGTCCGTTGCTTGTTTTGCAGCGAACTGTAACAGTTTGATGATGACACTGACGTAAAAATCTTCATATACACTCTTTTGAAAAAAAAAAAAAAAAAAAACGAGATTTTGCGGAGAAAGGGGAGAACCTCCCAATCTTCGTACTGTATAATGTATTGGCCAAAAAAACAAAATTATTTTGACTTCCCTTTATTTAAGCCATTCCGAATATTATTCCTAAAAAGCTAATCTGTGTTAAAACACAACCATTTTTGGAAGTTTACTATACTTTAGCAGTTACTGCAACTATGTTATTATAAACATTCATACATATGCTCATAATATAAGCATAACGATCATAATAAACAGGAATATGAACTGACCAAGCGGACTGAGAATGCAAATTATTAAGATCTTGATAGAAATTCAAACGTGTGTAGTATTTGTGTGGGAGGAAAAGAATGCCGAATGTACCGGAATTTTCTACTGCTTTCGCAATTCTTTGACCAATAGAACGACGGGCACCTGTCTGTACTCTTCATGTACACCAAAGGTTATGTTAATACAGAGAAAGGGGAAACACTATTTCTGGGAGTATGATTCACCATCTGACATTCCATAATAGGAAGAAAAGTTGTTTATTTAGTTTCGGCTTTGGTACGGGGAAAAATAGCGCATTCATTAAAAAAACAAACAAACAAAAAAAAAAAAAAAAAGCACTAAAAACAAAAAAATAACGGCTTTAAAGAAAAAATAAGCACCTATAAGGGCCTTTATATTTTATTTTCAAATGTAAGGACTTATAAGCACTTATAAGGATCGCTACGAACCCTGTCATACTTCAATAAAGCGCTCATAGGTACCAATGCCTAAAGATTTAGGTCATCTTCCACAGAATCTAGTTATATGAATGAAATGAAAATTTACATATACCTTAAACAATGCAAGTTTATAAAAAGTTAATACACGGGTTAATGGTTTCAATTTCCCAATGAAGCCCAGATATTTAATTTATGAATCTTTAATAACATAAAATTCAATTTATACAACTGTAGTACTAAACATACATGCTAAAAGGTATTTAATAGAATTTAATTACTTGTGATGCATAGATGCAGCGCTTGAGCTTTACGACATCTTCAGGAGTAAGCAGTTCTTCGCTTGTTGGCAAACGCCCACTTTATAATACAAAACTTGAATCATTTTCTTCTACTACAATTTATATTATCAAGAAAAATCATTTAATATACAGTTTTTTAGAAAGTTAAAGCAATTCAAATAGCACGGCTGTAGATTCTTTAGCATATCTTCATAATTCATATAGCATGTACACATAAGCAAAATGCATAAAGAAAAGGCATTTCTGATTTTTCAACTTCTTACATATTTCTCAAGAATTAATTTTATTTTGATGGAAATCCAAACTTAGTATGTCCAGAAAGTCATACACATTTAGTAATGGAAAAAAAAATGAAAGAAGTTAGATGGGGAAGAGAACTTTACTTTGTAAATAAGTATCTTATATTATTATTCTGCATATGCATGTATTACACAGGTACTTTTCTTACCAGGAGACATCTTCTACCTTCTACAGAGAAAGTATTCTTCCACCAGAAAACTAATGGCGGAGTATATAATAAAAATATACAAAAATGCATTTTTGAATTATGGTAACTATAACAAATAATTTCTTTTCTTGGATATATGGACTTTGTATTGTACAATGGATTTAATAAAAACATAACACTTTTATAGACTATATTTAAACAATAACATTTAATAATTTTAATAATCCATGGGGGTCTCAATTTTAATAATCATTTACTTCAATTAGCAAATATTTTATATCATTAAAATGTGTGTTTTCACTTCCATGATGATAAAAAAAAAAAAAAAAAAAAAAAAAAAAAAAAGAGGGAGCAGTGATATATAAATAACAATTCATCCATTTCACAAAAAATAACATATTCAATGCAAATTATTTCATGCCTGCACCTTTTAAAGTCCAAAACTGCAAAATACTATTAAAACAGAAAAGTACAGACATAAAAATGAATTTAAAAAATAAAATTCATAAATATCCATTAAAGATTAAAATAATAAAATCAATAAAAGTGTAAATGACAAAAAATAGTTTAAAATTTTAATAAAATTTTAAAAAATCGTAGACTAACAGCCAATAACATACCTTAAAACACACCACACTGACGTAAAAATCTTCATATACACTCTTTTGAAAAAAAAAAAAAAAAATCAAAGCACTATGAAGAACGTGGTTGTTTTTCATGAAATTGTATATGTGTATAGCTCATACACAGATAATAAAATGATTTAAAAAATCAAGTTCATAGTACCTGTTCATGGCTCACAATCACGAATTGAGTTTTCAAATTAGTAGTTGGTTGAGCCGCCTCTGGCGGCAATGCATGCTTGAATTTGTTGAGGCAAGAAGTGGTAGAGTGTCATTAATGTCATCCTGCGACACATTCTGCCAGGCATTCATCAGTTGTCGCTACACATCTGAAATATTTTGTGGTGCCTGAATCTAGCGGCCCACCATGTCCCAGACATGCTCAATTGGTGAAAGGTCTGGTGACCTTGCTACCAAAGAAGAGTATCAACCGCACGGAGACAGTCCAGAGATATGTGAGCAGTACGTGGCCTGGCATTATCTTGTTGGAAAATGGCCCAGGATGACATGCCTTGAAGAGTAATGCAGCAACTGCTGCAGGATGGTATCAACACGTTGTTGAGCTGTTAAAGATGTACAAAGGATGACTAAAGATAACCCACACCATCACACCACGGGTTATGGCTGTATGCCTTTGTGTAACAAAGGCTGATTGGGACTGCTGGCCTCATCCTCTCCAGACACGAACATTATGGTTATCTGCTTCAAAAGTTAAGCAGAATTCATCGCTGAACACTGACGTAACCACACTGACTTAATGCCAGTCTGAAGGCATTCATGATGATCGGCTGCGAAACCACTCCAGACGACTTCGCTGATGATGTGGGGTTAAAGTCAAACGTCTTAAGGCCTCTGTGAGCATAACACCACCTCAGAGAAGTGCCGTGAGATGGTGCACGGTACCATGGGAGGTAATGACGTAGCTGTACTGCGTTGAATAGTCGACAATGATACCGTTGGGGTGGTTCAGGCCTGGCAAACAATCATCCTATCTTGCCTCGCATTTGCGATCCTTGGTCTTCCAGAGTTGGCAATTTCCTTGCAACATCTTTGCACAGCAGTGTCTGTACGCTGCAGGCGGTGGCCTATTGCTCGTAAAGGACATAAGTGGTTAAAGCCGAGCTCCGTTGCCAAGGCAACCAGTCACTGCTACGTCACAGAATCTGGTTTAGGGCTCGTGGCACAAGGTTTCAACTTTACGCCAAGTTTGGGATAAGCGTTGACCAATCAGAGCGAAGCTAAAACGAAGCGGCTTTCTTAAGACGATTTCGCAGTCACATCAAAGGCGACGTTTTTTTTTTTAATATGGAACACATCGTATCCGAATGAGTTGTAATCGTATCCGAACAAAATAATGAGTTGTAATTGTATCCGAACAAAATAATGAGTTGTAATTGTATCCGAACAAAATAATGAGTTGTAATCATATCCGAACGAAATAAAGAGTTGATCTCGCAAGAAATCTACGATGATGACATGATTTTTTTTAAATGAGTTTTTCAATTTATATTGAAAATATGGATGAAACTTGTAAAGCGAAAGTTAAGCTCAGGATTATGCACGCTGTGTATGATCCTGTAGATGATTGATCCCTTCCAATATTTTTCATTTTATTATGAAAATTCTTTAAAAAAAGCATGCTTGCAAAAATTTTATTTTTTCTGTGTAAATTATTATTATTACTTTCTTTCTGTCTATAATTTTTTTAAAATTATTACTGTATATTACTGTAATTTTTTTCCTGTTTAATTATTTTTGTATTTAAGAATGAATTTATTAAAAAAGCTGGAAATATTGTATTGGTATTTGCTTCAAATGCTGATTTTCTTTCCAAACAAACTTCATGAATTAATTTTACTAAAACATCAAATCAATATCAAGAAGCTGCTGTTTTTTTTTGGAGGGGGGTGGGGGGGAACAGTAAAAATATTACTTTAAAAAAAAAGAAAAAAAATTTTCACTCATTTAAGAATAGTCAATTCAATATAGTCAATTCAATAGTGTAAGCTTTGTATAAGTAATTTAAAAGATTAATCTTTTGAGAAAATGCTCTTATGAATTCCAAGAAGGAAAGAATGTAGTGAAATATCCTTAAAATAGCAGTCAACAGTCTAGGCAGTTTTGTCTCCTGTTAAAGTGCAGTTTTGTCTGTTCTGTTTTTTAATTATGTTCTCCATGAAAGGAATTTACTTTTAATGAAACTAAATAGCAAACATAATTCATAACATGGACTATAATTTAATGAATAGTATTTGTTATTATTAACCACTCTTTATTACTATCATTTGAACAGAGTTTTGATTATTAAATTCATGCTATTTCTCTGGTAGAAATTCCTGGATAAGGTATGAATGTTTATAATTTTGATGTATTTGAAGACTTGGGTACCTAAAATTTGTCAATGTGAAAGTACTTTTGAGATTTGGTCGTAAATAGAAATGACAGCATATCTTGAAATTAAATTCAGGGGTGCGGCTTATACATGCAAATTATTAAAAATAGATGTATACAAACAGCTGGCAAGACAGCAAAATGTATTTAATGATTGAGCATAAAATGCATTGTTGGGTGAACGTTTCCTAGTATTGTACTAGTTGTGGTTGCTGGTCATTGTGACCAGTTGTGGGATACTAGTACTAGTGATAATTGATACTGGTAGTGCAGCAAACTACTATAGTGATCGACAGGGACAGTGAATAAGGAGTGCTAAGCACACGTTTCACTGTCATAGAAACATGTTCCTTTTGACTGAAAATTAAATAATAATAATAATAATAATAATGTATGGTAAGTACTGTTTTTAGCTTAACTGCCTTCACACCTGCAAAATGGAAAAATATTATATACAGGCTATCTGTCAGTTATCCCCAAGATTTTTTTTAATTAGGCATATTTAGAATATCGTATTTCTCCTGAGAGAAATTATATATAAAAATTGAAGAAGGTTTTATATATATAAATAAGCATGTGCATGTTTATAGTACAGAGAGTACTACAGTACAATGCAGAAATATTCCCTATTGCTTTGCACAGAAATACATGTGCCAACCAAGTATTGGTCTTTCAAAAAAATATCTCTCGACCATTTCGTTCTTTTTCGTCTTTTACCTTCTTCCGTTGCCTCTTGGCTAATGAGAAGGGCAGATAAAAGATCATTCTGTTGAGCCAGTAAAACTTTGTGGCGAGCTGAAAAAGCCATGACACAACGAAAAAAACAAGCAGAGCGAACGCGAGAAATCAATCGAGCAGGAGAACAGCGCGGGAAAGTTGTAGACATTCCACGCATGCGCAAATTTAGCTTCTCTCATTGGCCACGGCTTACACATCGTTCTCGCAGGTGTGAACAGGTTTCCCATATTTTATGCCCTTATGACTATGCCTCTATGCGCTTTACGCCCACGTCTGAACATACCTTGAGTGACCAGTTGCTTTTGCAAGCAAGGAATTGTCACAATCCCAAGAAAAATATATTCCTATAGAAAAAGAAGCATATACATGCTCTAAGAAAGTTTCAAACTTACATATATGGATCTCGAGTCCAAATCGTGAGCAACCACAACCCATTGACTTATCTGAAAAAATGCTTACTTAAGAGTGCTAGACTTCAGAGATGATCCCTGGCCTTGAAGAGGTGATGCCATCAGTGCCAGCTATCACCATGGAAAAGTAATTTAAATGCTGATGCTCGAAGTCAACTACCAGCTATTCATTTGGAAGAAACTGAAGTTCATTCAGAGAATTTTTTTTTTAATGTTACTAATTGAGCACCCACTAGAATGGGGAGGTTAGAGGCACTAGCACCCTCTATGAATAGCGGGACCAATAAAATGCAGAGAAAAACAGCAAAACAAGTCATGCGGAATATGCTTTAAAAATAAAAAAGCAAATCTCAATAAGAGATGTGTGAGTAGTGTATGTAAAAATATAGTTTGTTGGGTTACTGTGAATAAAAACATTAAAAAAATACAAGTTCATTTTACGAACGATGCCAAATAACAGATGAAAAGAACCCACAATCATCAGTCACGACAAATAGCCATTTACATATCTTACAATGTGCCACTAGAAATCACATAGTTAACTATTTCATCTTTACTTTAATCTGCCAATTTTAAAGGAAAAACGGAATACAAATTTTACAATTTGCTTCTACGGTAATTAATATATTATTGTCTTTTCATCCCATTCAGCCTTTTGGGCCACAGTGCTTTTCTTGGTCCTTGTGTATTAAATGCTACATGCCAAACATCAAAAACAACACTGGCACTTTTTGGTGATGAAATATATCTTTCACATCAGTAGAAAGATGAAATAGGTTTTTTGGTTTCTGGTGGGTATTGTTTGCCACCCACGTTCTTCTGATTTGATTACTGCTCTTTGCAATTTGTTACTGAATCAATATGAAACTTTCTAAGTATGAAGGCAAGCAACATCTCTTAAAAACAGTTTCCAGTTCTGAATATTCTTCAGCTGCTCCTGGCATTGCATTTCCATCATGTACAATGCACGGAATGAAATGCTCAATGATTTTTGGCAAAATACCATATGCCTAGAAATAAATGATTGCTTCCGCTTTATTTCTCAGTAAACCTAGTAAATGCTTGATGCAAAATGAGGGGAAAAATTAACATAAGACAAAGAAACATTGTTCTAACAAATTCTAAAAGATTCAATAAATAAGTAAATAAATGCAGATTTGCACTTGCTTTAAATTAAAGTATCTTGAGGCTGACAGGCTGAGAAAAAGATACCCCAGCCTCCTTAGACAATGAAAAAGTGGCAATTGAAGAGACCATTAGCATTTTCAAAATAGGATATATAAAAAATCTGCAATGCCTTCACTGGGATTTCTGACCTTCTGATTGTTAGCTAGATGGGCTTCCACACCATGAAGGTATGCAGTAATGAGGGAGAAAAACCTTACATTATGCCTCACTTAAAAGGCAAATGGAGAGAAGAGGACCCAGTCACCAAACCCTGATGGTGACAAATTACCATCCACAAACTCTTGAGTACCACTGTAGAGACCATTAGGTCTTTGAAGAAGAAAATGTGAAAAATGTGCATTGCCGTCACAAGGATTCAAATTCTATTCCTTCCAACTACTAGCCAGACCTGCTTTCCAATTATACTATGACAGCATGCAGTAACAAGGCAGAAAAACTTTACAGAGTAGGTAACTTAATAAATTTTTAAGAAAGAGGGGAACCTATCATTTTAGAAGTACCTGAAATAGCTTCTAGAGTTGCTGCACACTCACACGAAAGAATCAAGAATGACATTTTTGAGGATATAACGGTACATATCAACTAATAAACAAGTACCCATTTTGCTTGAAATAAATAATTTCGAAATCTTTCAGATAAGCTTTGCTTTTCTACATTTTTACATATTTATAATAAGTTATAATAAAATAATATTAATCAAAATCGCATTTTAACTTGTTTACAAAATTTTAGATGTGAAAAATGTATCATTTCACAATAGTATAGATTAAATAAAAAAATAATAAAATTTATTAATCACTGTTTGCTTCAAGTCATAAAATGTTTCATTCTCGTTCCCCCACTACTGAGAAATACAAAATACAAATCAATTTAGCAAATTTTTAAGAAAGAAGTACATCATACCCAAGACATATCTCAAACATCCTCTTTCCAATTTTAGACTGAACATCATGAACTGTATCTCGAAGTTGTTTCGCTATTGCTTGACCTCTGAGCGAATCCACGTTAAAATTGTTAGTACGGGCAGGAAAAATCAAAAATGCCATGACAGTCATTTCACTATTAGCAGTCTATAAAGCAAATACATAAGCAAAACTTAATACATAAAGAATGAAATATATGGGAAAAGTAAAGTAATGTAGCATATGTGCCATATTTCCTCATGTATTTATCCCCTTTTCTAACCAATTTTGTTGTAAAAAAAATTGACAGTGAAAAATTATGTACGTAGTTTAATTTCTGAAGAACGTGGTTACAGTGAAAACTTAATTAATGAAAAGCTGTCAAGGAAAAATTACTGGTAGGTATTACAATATTATTTCTTTAAAAGAAACCTACATTCCAATACCAATACAAAGTAATATTAATATCTGGTTGTAACGTAAGTTTTGTGCCAAAAGCCACGAACCGAGAAGCAGATTAACCTCATTTTGTATGCAATGTGCAGAATAGAAGACAGCACCAGGAAGATGTACCTGCAGGTGTGAAAAAAGGTAGATGCCCGAAGGAGCGATGTCGGGGCTATATGGTGGTGTCGTAAAAGATCCCATTCGAGTACATACAAAGTCCAGCCGGTGAATGCAGATACATGTAGTCTTGCATTAACTTGATGGAATATTACCTTTTTGCACCGGAACTACTCAGCTCAACGTTTTCCCTTGATAGCAGCATCAACAAGGACTAGCATCTCGCTGTACACATTACTGTTGAGGGTTTCACCTTTTTCTAGATACGCTTTGTGGATAATAACATGAGAATTCCACCAGATACAAAGCATGATATTTTTGTGAGTCAAATTGTGTTTTACGATGCTGCTGACGGCTCACTAGGTGCAGACCAATCCCCTTTTCGGCTTGTGTTGCTGAAGTAAATCCACTTTTCATCACAAGTGATCATTTGGTCCAAAATTTTGGTGTCCTTGCCTTTGATATTCGTACAGATTAGTGCAGGCCCAAACATGTCTGTTCTTATCTGCTTGAGTCAGTTCATGTAGCCCAGGGATTTAACTTATATGTCACGTCTGTGCAATGCAGTGCGACTAACGGACATGGCACTAACATCTAATTCCCTAGCAAACTCTCAAGTGGCTGCATACTGATCTTCTTCCACAAGTTCTCGCAGGCGGGCCTCATCAACATCTGTAGGCCGGCCAGAGTGCTCCGCTTCTTGAATGTTATTTACTTCTGTTTTTTTAACCTCATGATACAACATTAGTACCTAAAGCTATACACATGATTTGGTGACATTCTGTACCTGACGTTTTGCTACAAAACTAGAAGTAAATGACAGTTCTAATCTAGTAGCATGATAGATCCATTTCAGACACCTTGTATTTAATGACACATTTTTTTAAAATTTCAACACAGTGTACTAAAGCAAGTCTCTTTCTTTTAAATGCAAAAAACCGTTTGACAAAATTTGATTAAACTTGCCAATGCGAACTGATTGAGCAGACGATATTTGTGTAACTCTCGTTAAACCCCAATATTATAATATCTAATGGTAATTGAGCTGGACATGTTGCACAGATAAAAGCACCTGTTTGGAAAGTTTTTTAAGTGTGAGAACACCTGCCACGTCTGGGTAGCTTAACTCTCCCAGTGTTTCTAAAGAAAGAATGTATTTTTGAGAGTGTTAGCAGTTTTGTCAACAAAGTTTTTGAAAAGTATAAGATGTTTCCTTCATTCAATGCACTGAAAGCATTAACCAGTTTTTTTATACCCCTACACCTCAAGATAATTGTCAGATGAACTGATTAGTGTTGGCTGTAAAATTATAAATTGCTATCAAGTTTCAGCAAAATTCAAGAACAAGGTCTCAATTAGTGTTTTAAAAGTAATTCAAATTGTAACAGCTATAGTTTGCTTTAGTCAGAAATTATGTTGCCAAATTTTGTAGATAACTGCAAATCAAGAGATCGAAAGAAAAGAATTTTAAATATTTAATTTGTATGTATGTATATATATATATATATATGTCTGTATGTGTGTGTACATATATATATACATATCCTTCTCCCTTCAGAAAATCCCACAAACTTACTGTCTGGGATTGTAAGTAGTTTATAATAACTACCTTCAATTGTGCTTAAAATTAGAGTGTTATTTTGACTTGACATGAAGTTTTAACATCAAATTTGCAAGATAAATTGCTAATGTTTTTTGGTCAGAAGCACTAGACAGCAAAGCATAATGTCAAGTATATTTTTAAACAAAATTAATTAAGTTGCATTTTCAATGATGTTTCTGCTTCTCAATGTTTTCATAAGCTTCCAAGATAATAACTGGCATTCACTATATTAAATAACATTATGCAGACATTAAAAATTGATCCATTGCAGTTAAAATCTCTGCAATACAAATGATTGCTATTAGGTAAGAGCTAGTTTCCTGATTTAGTCCCATAAGCAATACTGAAAAATAATCAGTGCAGTATGACAAAAAAAAAAAAAAAAAAAAAAAAAAAAAAAAAAAAAAAAGGCATTAGTGAAGGGAGACAGAATTTGATGCTACTTAATGAAAGTTATTCTAATTTTCACAGTCAACAAACCATAAACTTTCCAAGAGCAAAGCAATAGCTTGCAAAAACATATAGTTTATAATTAGTTTCCTAAATAAGTGAATCCACTTCAATGCAAATTTGAGGGAGGATTCTGGGAGAAAATTTAGCGAAATTGATGTCCTGAATCTATTAAGTTGGGATACAATTTGGATTAGAAAGTTATGATGATTTTTTTGAATCGAAAGAATATAAATTAAAGTGTTTAAATATGGCCAAACACAGGAAGATTATTTATCGAAGCTCACATGTTTGATGATAAGCATACCTAGAGATGAAATCTGAGAATCTCGTATTATCCTACCATCAACCTCTCAAGACGACTTCTGGATTGAGTGGATTAAAATTTAGATGACGTCTTTCCAGACAGACCATTCTTTTTTTGAAGTTAACGGAAGTCATCTAATATCAGCATGATGAGAAAGGTTAATAATATTTGATGACTTTACGCAGTGAAAGGTGAAAAATCTTCTTACGGAAAATTTCGCGCATTATGATATGAAAAGGTAACAAGCAGAAACATTGTTAACTGTTATTATTAACAAGTTATTTAAGTTATGCATTTAAGAAAACTCTGTTACTGTAAGTAAATTATAAAATTGAAATTGCAGTATCATTTGAAATCCTTGATATTACACAACTAATGAGAAAATCTGGAAACACCCAGAACTTGTTCTATAAATGCGTAACGTGCACTTCGCCCACTTGCTCATCTCTGGCTAGAGCTATCATAACTATGATTTCATTTATTTAAACCATTTTAGGAATATAGATAACTACAGTATTTCACATTATTTGGAAAGGTAATTGTATTTTATTTCATCCACTCTTTGCTTAACTAGTTGTGTTGTAAAGTATTGTTGTGTGTGTACTGGTTTGTAATAGATTGAATGCACACAGAACTGATGAGAGCTTGACAAAATTTATTTTACCAAATTTGCTTCTGGAAAGAGTATCCAATATATTGTCTGTTTCAGGAAGATGGTAGCTGTCTTTCTTTGTGATGTAATCAGAGAAAGTCGATCAAAATCTGGTTCAATTATCCTTCTTTCTGACCAGGATGATAGGAGAGGCCCAAGGACTTTCTGAAGACTCGATAATGTTGTTTTCTTGCACGTTCTTTGTAAATTTTACTACCTCCTCATATCCTTATAATTAGCAATTGAGAGACACTTTGGATGTTGCTGGCAAACACCTGTATCAATTCTGTGCTCTGTGAAACAGGTTTGACCTATGTCAGAAGATGAGAGGGAGAAAAAGATCCTGGAGAAATTCTTAAATCACATGTTCTGCAGCATTTTCCTCATCATCACCTAGACGCACATTTTGTAATAATTTTGACGTTAAGCTCTCCAAAGAAAGAGATTATGGAGGGTTACTGTTTCATTTAACACAGGTCACTGGAGTACATGCGCACAATCATTTTGCCTTTCGTAATGATTTTTGCTTTATCATCAGGCAACTCTCACCAGGATGACGGTCTTTAATAAGTCGACAAGTGCAGAGGCTAATAATACTCCTCACGGGGTGTTACAGTTCTTGGATATTACATTATACTATACCGGAAATTGTTGTTTTCAGCTACAGATCCAGGAAGTAAAAATTCCATTCTTGCTGGTACTGTGATATAGTCTTAAGCTACTACAGTGGAACCTCAAGACACGAGCATTTCCATATATGAGAAATTTGAGATACGAGGAAAGTACAAGCAAAAAATTGATCTCTAAATATGAGCATTGACTCGAATAACGAGCAAGTTAGCCAGGCTGTGTGTATGTGTGTCACATTTCCCGATCCAGCTTGAGTCGGGAAATCTCCTTGTCAGATCACTCAGTGTTCTATGATCTACGTGTTTGTGAGTTAATTGTTTTTTACATTTAACCTAAAAATAATTATTTCATGATGCCTCTTAAGAAGATTGTTGCCTCAGATAGTGCTGAAAGAAAAATAAGGAAGCCATGGCCGTTGAAATTAAGAAAGAAATCATACCGTCTTTTTCCGAAAATAAGACACTGTCTTACTTTCTTTTTTGGCCCAAAATACGCGCTAGGGCTTATTTTCGGGGGAGGGCAAAAATAAAAGTATATTTATATATTTTTATTTAATATTTATTTTACACAGAATACAGAAATTTAAATTTATTGAATTACAGTCATGTCATCTACTTCTGGAACATCATCATAAATAAAATTTTGAATTATATTCTGATTTTCTTATCACTGGTCCGAATCTCTCATGTCTTGCGATATAGCTATCGTTAAATGAATACTTCTTGTCCAAGTAGCCTGTTTGTAGTGCATTGGAAACATCAATATCAGTTATTTTGTCCTATGAATTTTTTACCCAATTAACAACTTTTTGTAAGCCTGGTTTTACAAAATTACCTCGATGATTTCTCTGTTTTCTGTTTTCAATATATTCATTGATTTCCATCCGCAAACGATCCTTGAATGGCTTGTTTATTGCAATGTCAAGTATCTGGAGGTAACCAGTCATTCCTTCCGGAATCATT